ATCAAAACTGTGTGTGATTAAACATCCTGACATTTAGGTAACACTGTTGGCACTTTCAGCTAGTTAAATTCCAGCTCAGACCCTCAGCGCAGTTTGAGTCAGTTCCACAGTGTTTCAACTGAAATGGGCTGTCCATATTTGGTTGTGCACAACAGGTTGCGTCCTACATTGTAAAAATCACAGTTTGAATGACAGTGTTTCACAAATCAGTTAAATATTTTGAAAATAATACATTATAGAATATTAGCTATTGCAATTTGTACCTCATTTTGGTTTATTAGGGCCTTATATTGAATGACAGGTCTTCAGTTTAAGATTTTTCTTAAATACAACAGCTTGATCACTGGAACAACTAACACAAATGGACAGAAAACGTATGCTTGTATGAGAATATTCATTATTATTATTATTATTTATTTTATTTCATTGTACTATTGGAGTAAAATGCATGTACTTGTAAAAGCTACAGTCAAATATGTTACCTAAAAAATGTAATTAAAGTCGGGGGGGGGGGTTCAACAAAAAACTTTCAAAACAATTGACCCTAAAAAAGCTGGGAGCAGCCAGGATTTCATTTCAGGCTAAAACCCATTCGAAACCATGAGCAGTACAACAAATCTCCTGACTATCAACTTCAGTTCCGCTCTGATCAGCACTTGTCCCAAATAAATCATTGTGAACCAGCAGCAAGTGATAGAATTCCTTTATCTGTATCAACCTGTCACTGAAGCAAGAGGCTACACGCCACTGCCATGTGTTCCATCTACAGCAGAGAAGTGATGCAGTGGGTACAGATCCTGTGTCTTACAGCCGTCACTTGTCATGTCAACGCAGCTCAGATCTATAAACAAACTGATTCTTCTTTCATATGCACGTCCCTTTGAATAAAGACAGAAGCTAAACTATCACACAGAGTTTGAACATATGAATTTCATCATAATCAAACCACATTTTTTCAGAAGTACTTTATTACAGCTGGGTCACATTTACTTTAAAATGACTCACAAATAATATTTAATTTAAACTTAAATAAATACTTTCTGCAGTTTTGTAGCTAACACCTATCCTTTCACACCCTGTTCTGTGTACCTTTACCTTTAAATGCCAATGAGCCTCTGCATGCTCCAGGGAAAGACCTGAGGACAGATTCATGAAACCATGGCAACAGTGCAGCACTAAGAGAGAAATTGCTGCCTGTAGTTTCGGATGGTCTATGCAAAGATGAGTGTTTTTGTTTTGTGCACATGCCCAGTAAGGTAAGCCATTCTGACAGGTATGCTAGCCTGTTAGGATACCAGACAACAATTTGGAGTTCAACCGTAGGTTTGAGCCAGAATCTGACCCAGAGCAAGAAGAATCTCCAGAATGAAAAGTCCAGAGCCAAAAATAAACCCGGATGTTTTAGTTAAGTTTGTGGCTCTAATATCACTTTTACGTCAATTATGTAGACTGAGGATACTGGCACACCCTCACTGGCTGTTTCCTGCTTGTTGTTACAGATGACAACCATCTTGCTTAGCTATTGGTTGTACATGATAAAGATCTGAATTTGTAGCATGACAAACAGGTGGAATCCCAAAGGCTCGATGTTAGATTTTGGCAGATTATAAAACATAAAGAGTACTTTGTTGTTGAAACTGGCAGACACTGTGGAGATGTTAATATTTGGTGTAAAACATATTCCATATAACAGTTTGCATCGAATCTGGAGTCATCATTAAAACACTTCTCCTTAGTTTCTGCAAAATCTTTTGTTTTAACATCAAACAATAACCTCTGAATTAATTCAACTGTTAACAATTCCAGTAAAAGCATAAGAGATTCAAATGCAGTTCCACATAAAAGTCTGACATCTGCACATTTAGCAGCAGTGTTTGCCTTTGGCTCTTTACTCACTTTCTCTACCGTCCTCTGATCTTAAATCTTGCAAATTATTAACTGTTGATAATTGAATTTTTCTTCTCAATTTGCCGTCTTGTTGTTAGAGAAGATGTTTTATGATCAACAGATACTTCTTTTGGCAAAGTCAGCATAAAGTGTTGAGCCGTAACCTGTTTTTACTTCCAAAACTGTTATCTGCCTCCAAATTGATTTGCACGGCACTTTGAGCATTACTTTACTACTGTGCCGTCATTTGCAGTTTATGCAGGAGTAAAACTATTTTTTTTCTAAAGGTTCAAGTAAACTGTGAAACGATTTTTTTCTTTTTCCAGGCTGCATTTTTCAATAATGTTATACTTGTTTATTTAGTGTTAAATTTACTCCCAGAGACTCCATTTTATCCTCATAACGTACACACACGTATACACAGTCAGTGTAGTATTTAAGCCAATCAGAATCACACAGTAATTTCTTTACGTCAGAAACGAGACACAGAAGATGTGGCAGCTGAAATGTGTTTGTCCAATGTCTGAGAGGAAATCTCATTGTTGTTAACACATAACAGGCTTCTGCTGTGGTTGTAATTGACATTGTGACTTCTTCACCAAGCCCAGAGAAACGGACTTCAGCAGCAGCAGCAGCAACAGCAGCAGCAGCAACAGCAGCAGCGCTCCCACTGCAACATTTCCCTGTCCCTCCCTGTGTCTCTTTCTGTCTGTCGCCAACTGCAGAAATATTTGATAACCCTTCTTTTACTAACTTTTGTACAATGTGTTGAAAACTTCTTGAACTTCCAGAACTGAAGAAGCATACACACATGTATCGTACGTTCACCCTAAAATATTATGGTGATAATTTATCCCAAAGTTTGTTTTTCCTTTCAGCAGAGGTTCTTGTGTGGGGGAGGCCCCTGAAATGACATGGGGCTGTTGCAAATGGCTGCAGGGTTTAATGGAGGTTAATTTCACTTTCCATATCTTCTCAATGCTTTGTAGTTGTTCAATAAAAAACGTATTTATTTTGGTTTAAAAGAAAATGCTGTAAATATGTCGATGCACAACAACTGTTCTTTTAAAAAATGGGAGGCTTGTACAAAAAGTTAAGCACGTCACAGTAAAAGGTTGTAATTTCATGCCCCAGTGCGTCAGAACCACGGAGACATTAAGAGTAGAAGAAAGTGATAACACAACAACATTAAGGTGTACAAATTGTTTTGTTCAATAATAACGAAAAATGTAAAAACACAAACTCATGCCGTGTTTTTGTCTGAGGACAAAACAAAAAACAAAAAAACAACACAACCATTTGTTGTTGTAGTACCATCGGCAGAAATGTGGTGAGGAGATGTTGGAGATGGAGCTGCCAGGCAGTATGGAGACGGAACAAACTTATATTGTAGAGTAAGCATGGACGCCATGATCTCACCTACTGCTCTGGTGATGATAATGATGATGATGAGGTTGATGATGATGATGATGGAGGTTATTGTATTTTAAGTCTGAGAGAAAATTAGTTTATGTCTCAAATTTTCTCCCATCCATAAACATCTTCCTGACGACCTCCATCTATGAATCACAGTCTTAAAACACACTCCAGTGGCGATAAACAAAAACACAATTGAGAGCGTGACTTAGAGACACCAACGTGATGAGGTTCCTGTCTGATGGACCTGCTGTCAGTCAAAGTTCCTCTTCTCTTGCTTTAGCACCTTATTGTTGTTTTTCAATGAAATGACCCAATAGTTTTGGAAGTTCTGATCGATAAAAGGCAAAGTTTTCATCCCTCATCCTAGTTGAGATACGTCTGGTCTCAGGACATTATCTATTATACAGTTCCTGGCAACGTATGAACCTCTTTGATCAGATTTGACGCTTTGAAATGAAGCTTTTTGACAAATCTTCAGACATCCTGGGGAGAGGCTGACTTCTATTTTTTGAGGTTCGGTTTGAAATAGTGGATGGAAAAACATTGAAGGAAAGGGATGAAGAATGAGAGTGAGGATGGAGGTGGAATGGAAGGAGCAGAGCAGTGCCAGAGTCTGCTGGTCATTTTGCAGGGAAGTCAGAGGCTGCCAGGGGCCTTGTAATCCACCTCCTCCACCAGCAAACCGCTGCCCCCCATGCCTCCTCCATCATCCACTCCACCCCACCATGACAAAATGGATCTGCTCTCCATCAAACAGCTGCAGGCTACCTCTCCACAGTTTCCCTCCTTCCTTACCTAACGGTTCTCATCCCATTCATCATTTTCACTGCCTCGGTCTTGGTCAGCTCAGAGGAACTGGCTGTCGCTGCCAGACTTTGCTATTGTGATCCCAGACCTGGCAAGAAAGGAGGCACTGGTTTCCACCACCACCCCCCCGGTGGTGTCATTTAGAAAGCACTTAATGGGCTTAGCTGCACTTGCTAATTTGTCAACAAGTTCTGGTTGTGGGGTTGTGAATCTCGCCCTTGCCAGGCTTGTTGGTCTGGGGACATGACTAGAGGTGCTCCCGGCTAACTGTGGATTTTTGGAGTCAGGGCTTGAATTCATCTGAGGGACATTTCATTGCATACATACTGTACATAAATGTTGGGTGTTGGCGCTCAAACTGCAGTGTAACATTCTTTCACATTCTAAAGGCCCATTAATGCTCAACAGTAGATCTCTGATTCTTAGCAATTCAGTTCTCCACTTAACTATATTGGGAAAGAAAATCCGTGTTTTTCCACTACTGATGGAGTTCAAGCTTCTCTGGGTTGAAGCTGGGGTTGTTTGCATTTATTATGTATGATGTCTGAAGGTGTTTGGTAGCGAGCTAATCTTCACAAAATAGGAGCATGTTTTCCATTGTGGTTAAACATCTATCGGAGTGCTTAGAGTACAGCCTCTGATTTTCACCAAAATAGTGAAGAGTAGCTGAATTCATATGGGAGTCGTGATTCTATTTTTATTCAACCAATTTATGCCACTTGAACAGTGAGGAATCCAAATTGTCAGGATTTCCATCGCTTAAGCAACATGAGAAACTTTGTTTCTTTCCAGTGGCTTCCATTCTGGAGTTTTTATCCATTTAATACCAAACGCTTAAGCAAAATAAAGTCAAAATCATTGTTTTCCTTCTGTTTTTATCATTCCAGGGTTCCTGAGCACAGGAGACCAGGCTGCCAAGGGCAACTACGGTCTGCTGGATCAAATCCATGCCCTCAGATGGATCAAGGAGAACATCCAGGCTTTCAAAGGAGACCCGAAGAGAGTGACCATATTTGGCTCTGGAGCTGGAGCATCGTGCGTCAGCTTGCTGACCCTGTCGCACTACTCTGAAGGTGTGTGTTCTCACACGCAGGCATGTGGGCGGTGAACTTTACACCTCACTCTGACCAAACAATAAACACTTCCAGTAGTTAAAGGTTTGCTCTCAGCGAGAACATGTTTTCTTTAGTCACATGCAAACTCCTTAATAAAAAAAACATTTAACTCACAAGTATATGGACACTGTTGTTCTGCTGCTGCTTTCTTTGATTACATTTAACCAACTAAATATCGCTGTAGAACAATAATAGCGTGACCAAGTGACCAAGGCTGCATGTCAAGACAGAGCCATTAGTGGATAAAGAAAACTCCCAGATTATCATGATGACGATCTTTTATCACAGCATCTCTGTCACAACTTTTGTTTGTTTGTTTGTTTGTTGGTGTGCTTTGATACCCAAGACATAGAAAAATCCTGGCGTCTTTCTCTGCGTGCGTGTGTGTGTGTGTGTGTGTGTGTGTGTAGCTGAGCTGCAGATCTGACTTGAGCTTTAACTGGAACTCCACGTTTGATCAACAGCAACAGCAGAAATCTTGTACCCTTCAGACTAGGCCCACGGGGAAATGTTTTCTTTTTGTTCTGCTCAAAACATGCTTCTCAAATTGGACATTTTGAGTCAACACCACCGCTGTATTTTTTATTTTTTTTTGCAAGAGTATAAATAGAAATCTCTGGAACAACAAGAAAAGACACGACTCCTGTGGTTGAACGGTGGCCTACTTGCTGATCGACAGACCATGAAGCGTTGCTCAAGGATGAGGAGACAACCCCGGGAACAGCTAATGAATAAACAACAGACGTGTTTATGTCGTTTCTTCTTCACTTTGGCTTATAAATGTGTATGAAGTACTTTGATTTGCTTCTCCATATATTTTAGCTGGTGTGAAAGAAGAAGTACAAGAAACACATTTATTTCACAATGAAACCTTCATTTCTAATTTGTTTTAATATCACTCACCCTTGGACATTATAAAAGTTACAGATCACATCAAAGGAATTCCAGGGAGTCCAAGTTCTTTTGTGAATTTTTATTAAAGCACAAAATGTGCTGTCTGTTCACAGCTACTGCCACGAGTTTGTGTGTTTTATGCATTTTCCTCTGCTTTTAACCCAATAACGAAACAAAAGGAGTGGGTGTTTTTTTTTTTGTCTGCTCTGGTAAGCAGAGAAACCACAGACGCACAATCCTCCAAATTCAGCTTCTTCCTTTAGCCACTTGGCCACACGTTGCTGCGGTACCAAAGCGATTGTAGCTGCAATGGAGTACTAGTAGTAGTAGTAGTAGCAGCTTGAACGTTGATCAATGCAACCCACACTAAAAAAGTTAAAACATGTAGGTTTCAAAATTGGGTTTAAAAGGACCTAGGACTGTAGGCTACGTCTCTGCAAACGATGATGCAGAAGCTAACTAGATCAGCCTTTCAAGCTGCTGCAAGATATGGTGTATGTGCTCTTCTCTTGTTGCAAGTGATTCACACACCGTAGAGAGGAACATCAGCCAACTCTGATCTGAAGCTGTGGAGCAGCTCAGGTCTTCTACACCACAAGAGTGAGCAAAAGTTCAGTTTTCAAAAGTGCAACAATTAGTATCCCAAGTTTCCATAAAAAACTGTTTCAGAACCGTGCCTTAATTATGGATTTTTGTTTTGGTTCTGCTGGTTTTGCATAGCTTTGTTGATACCACTGACATCTCGTTTGTCTGTTTTAGTTGCGAGAGTGGGCTAAATAATTCAGAGACATTCAGACGTCTCTGTGTTCATGGTGCTTTTTTGATTGGAGTCTGTTTCAACAGAGTAAAACAGAAATGCTCATTTCTCTTCCTGCTGTTTTTATAATAACACCAAAACCATTCACTCTGCGCTGCCAACACTGTATGTGTGTGTGTGTTAGTGAGAGAACTCTTCGCTGACACACGCTCCCCTTTCAGATCTCTTCCAGAAAGCCATTATCCAGAGTGGAACAGCATTGTCCAGCTGGGCCGTCAACTACCAGCCTGCCAAGTACACTAGAGTCCTGGCTGAAAAAGTGGGCTGCAACATGGTGGACACAACCGACTTGGTGGAGTGTCTGCAGAACAAGAACTACAAGGAGCTAATAGAGCAGTACGTCACTCCGGCCAAGTACCACATCGCATTCGGACCTGTGATTGATGGAGACGTGATTCCGGATGACCCTCAGATCCTAATGGAGCAGGGGGAGTTCCTCAACTATGACATCATGCTAGGGGTCAACCAAGGGGAAGGATTTAAGTTTGTGGACGGCATTGTTGACAGCGAAGACGGTGTCTCTGCCAATGATTTTGACTTTGCTGTGTCAGACTTTGTGGACCACCTGTATGGATATCCTGAGGGCAAAGACACTCTACGTGAGACCATCAAGTTCATGTACACGGACTGGGCTGACAAGGAGAACCCAGAGACCCGACGCAAAACCTTGGTGGCTCTGTTCACCGATCACCAGTGGGTCGCGCCAGCAGTGGCAACGGCAGATCTCCACGCCCAGTACGGGTCACCCACTTATTTCTACGCTTTCTACCACCATTGTCAGAGCGACATGAAGCCCAGCTGGGCCGACTCAGCCCATGGAGACGAGGTACCCTACGTGTTTGGAATTCCTATGATTGGCCCCACAGACCTTTTTAACTGCAACTTCTCCAAGAACGACGTGATGCTGAGTGCGGTTGTCATGACCTACTGGACTAACTTTGCCAAAACAGGGTGAGTTCTCAACTATTCCTCTTATTTGTTTCGGTTTTGATGTTCCACCTCGGGCTGTAAACCTATGTTGCTGTTTTTTAACTTCATCTACTAGTCCAGTTTTTACAGCCAGAGTTTCCACACTCACTCCACCTCGGGCTGTAAACCTATGTTGCTTTTTTTTAACTTCATCTACTAGTCCAGTAGACTGTACCACTGAAAATTTACCTGTTCATTAATTTCACACTGCCAGCAGCTAGAGGGCACTGATGCGCCTTATACTCCGGAGTGACTTATAGTCGGGAAAATACAGTAAGAGGATAGAATGTACAGCTGGTTAGGTCGATAAAGGATGCAGTGCAGAACTTAACGAATTGGTGAAGTCAGTGTGCTGAGGAGGCTGATGTTTAAAGACCTGACAAAGGTTATGGCTTTTTGAGCCAGCTGCAAGCCCCGCCTCTTTAGAAAGACAAAGGTGGAGCCAGCTTACTGTACACTATTCTGAAGGTTTCAGACAACACACGTGTGTCAAAGAGATTTTTCACAGTGCCCAAGAAATGCTCTTTTAAATTGGATTTTGTGTTTTTTTTTTTTCTTATATTTTATTTAATAAGATTGCATTTCTAAAACCCATGATGGGAATTCCTGATTCCTGCAGAGTTAGCTGCCTTATCGACCTGTTGTCAGGAAGGCTTCCTCCTCCTGCTATTTTTATCTGCAGGTTTAATAAAGCAGATCCTTGAATCTGTGAATGTAACAAATTGCTGTGCTGATGTTTTGACACGTTTCTTGATGCCTTACTGAAAATTGGCATTTGCAGAGAATTATAATGGATAGGTATGCTTCTGCAGTATTGATTTAGTTTCCTTTAAATATTTTAACAGGTAATGCGTGCGTTGTAGCACAAACCTCAGTCTACCATAATTTCAGGGATTGTTTTTTCTTGTTTTTAAACACAAGGCCTTTTATCCACTTAGTCTCCCATGGCAAAGTCAGTGGAGAAAATCAAGGTTTTTGACTGTTGAACACACACCAGCTGGCCATGCCCTGCTGCCACAATCAGCCAAATCTAATCTGGAGACTCTCAACACTAATTCAAATTCAAGAAATCACAAAAAAATATTACTAAGTAGTACAACAACAACTACCTTGTGCTGTTATGTAAAAATGCAGAACTTTGTTGTGTGTAAATGAGATATCACTAGGGATGACCGATATTATTGGCCCGATATTAGAATAATTATTTGATATCTGTATGCATCGATATCAATTACCGTTCAAATTTGGTTACAGATAAAGAAAATTTGTTAACAACGCCTGGGTTTTGTCAAATGACGTGTGACCTACAATAGTTTTGGGGATAAACGGCTGTATATGAAGCGAAAGTCACTAGATGGCAGCATTGCAACTCATTTGATTTATCTATTTTAATATTCAGGGAATTGTATGCAGAATGCCAGAAACTCATACAGTGGTTTGTACAGATAAATACATATTAACAGGCCTACATCGGTATACGATGATATCGAAATTGGAAATGAAGTGTGTATAAATAGAAAATTATAATTTAAATCCAATTTTAATGTACACATTTTACTTTTTCCTGAAGTTTCTTCAAAAGTTGAACTGTCAATCGTTTCATTCCTGAAACCAGCTCCTGGTTAACTGTGAGACAGTGAGAGTTCTATAAATAGTTTAAAAAAACCCTGCAGTCAATGGATAAGCCTTTAAGAATGAATCTACACCTATGCTAATATACTTTATGCAGTACTTATTTAAATCTTGGGTCCATGTCAGATGGTACCAGCTTATGCTACATTCATTACCGCTAATCTGTGTACGTGATTGCATCTGTTCAGCGGTGTGGCATTTCATCTTTGCATTTTTTATTTTACTTACACCTGTCACTGTTATTAATATGCACAGATTGGAGGATGAATGAGAACAGATGCAAAGCCACAGCAAAGTATTTTTTTCTCAGTCTCAAACGTAACAGTCTTCAAGAATCATGTCAGTTTGAGTGGTTATTAAATTATTTGAGCAGTGAAGTGCTGTTAGAACGGTGAGTACTGGATTTACAGTGAGGTGCAACCACATGTAAACATTAAACAGATTCAGAGGAAGGCACCAGCTGGAGAGCTGTCATGTCTTGTGGGGAATGAGAAGACAACGGAATAACTTAGCATTGATGTGTAATATAAGGTTCTGGGAACGTAAAGAAGTATTTTTCTTTATTCATCAGCTGGTAAACAAACATTTGTTTTGCCTAATAATAATTAATCAGTTCTTTTTCATGTCAAATACACTTTTGTTACTTGCCTATTTAGTTCTTTACATTATGTAGTTTAAATCAATGAAATTAAATTCTTCTGAATTGTTAAGTCAAAACAGAATATATATTTTATTGCACTGATGATGCATTAAATTTAGTACATAGTTTTATAATTAACAGTTTTCTAATTATAAAGAATGAAATTGGGCTTGCAACACAAACAAGTTGCAGAAATAAAGATAAACTCCAATAACCGTCTGAAAAACCTTTAGCTGAGAGTGTAAAAAAATGATAGTCGTCCCCATGTCAGGTCATCAGGAAGGATTCAGATCACCTGATCTAAACTCCTGTGTTCACCCACAGCTGAGGCCAATCCCATAGATTGGAACAATATTAAAGAGTGACTCAGTCCACAGAGCTGGTTTGGATACTGCCAAAGGAAAGTGTAGGTTTCAGGTTATTTTTGAGGAATAATTTTGTTCGGTAGAGAAAATGTTGCGAGTTTGTTTTTGTTTTGTTTGTTTTTCATACAAAGGCAACAGTGTATCACTCTTTTTTTCGTTGATGTTTATGAAGACATTGCCTCTTCAGTATCTTGCAGACACTCGTTTTGGAGTAGTAATGTAAAAAGTATAAATGAATGTGATTGTGATTTAGGAGCGCTCCACTGGAGGCAGCAGACTCATCATCCAGATGCAGTTATAGAGCATGGCCAGTATTCACTGTAGTGACAGCAGGTTGATGAATGTCACACAGGACAGGACCCGAATGAGTTAAAATTACCGGGTATATTGAGGACGAAGAATGTGAAGTGTTACACAGCGTGTGAAAGATGGCACGTCAACTGTAAATTAATTGCGTGTTGCGTCACTCATGCCGTTTTTACAATGTAGCTTAACATAGTAGCAGCGAGTTTTTACTTTACAAAGTAATGCACAGTGTAGCGGTTAGCATGCCTGCCTAGCGTTCAAGGAGCTAAGACTCCTGGGTTCTATTCCCAGAAGAACCACCATATTTCTGTAGTGCACTGTGAACCTACAGTGTGTTCCCTGGGCTTTAACTACCACAGGATTAAATACTACAGTTACTAATACGGTCAATTCAGGATTGAGTGTAAATATGGTCTATGTGTTTCTACAGGTTTTTCTCTGTTTTGTGGCCCTTTTTTTAACCAGCCTTTGTGTGTTGTTCATGAAGTGCAACCATACTTCAGACCACTTCACCGTGTTGTACACACTCCAAGCATGCTTCATACTTTATCAAGGAATCAGGGTGCTGTGGAATCAGTTAGCAAACACACAAACTCTACAACAACTGGTTCTCATCTCCATTCCTAACATGTGTGTATTAGCAAATCAGACACATCTATCATCACACATCCTTTCAGATTGTCGGCTCCAAGGTTGTTACTTAGCCTTTACTCTCACTCATTTCTCTGAAGTCAATAAAATTGTTGTCATGGAGGGACAAGAGAGGCTGCTGTTTACCAGAAAACATGAATATAAACCACCAAAGCTATACATAGGGTTGAAGAGGTTTTAATTAGTCAGTGTACTGCACTGTGAAGACACAACCAAGTTTTATCCATGTAGCGTTTAATGATTCAATTCTAACTTTAGCTGAAGGAGATATAGAAGGTGCTAATCCAGGTCTGCCATGTTTAGTGAGTTGGTGGTTCAAATCCTAACATCTATAGAGTGTTAAGTGAAAGCTATTAATGACTGACATTCAACAAAGTCCAACATGGTAGCATAAAGGGTTTTTATTGCTACTTAGGAATTAAGAAGTTGTGACTATTTTCAAAAATATTAGCCCCAAAGATGACTACTAGCTGAATTCTGTTCTGCCTTACGTCTAATCTATTCTTTAAAAAGCAAATACCAATACCAAGGACCATCCTTGTCTTCATAAACAGAGTCCTTTTGTTGATGTTTCTATCTTATTCCTTGATCTTGACCATGCTTTTGGAGAAATACATTACTTTATGACCTTTTGTCTTTTTAAAGACAACTACAACTGTTAGTCTTTCCTTCTTTTTTTTTCTCTTGAGTAAGTACACCAACACTTTAAGCAGATTGACAAACTTTGTTTTCCTCTGAAAAAGCTAGAAAGGTAGAAAGTTCAACTTTCTGGCCATGAAAATATGCTTTAAAAAACTTTAACCAAGTATGATGTTTATATATAGAGGTTATAACAAAGTTAGGTTTGTTATAAGGTTAAACAAAAGTCTTTACTGAGAAACGGTTCCTTGACACAAAAGAAATTGCTGCTAAGTGAAACTAATGGCCAGTCACGTCGCTGATTTTGTATCATCATGCTTCCTTAACTCAAACCGAAGGCTATGGCAATTTACAGTGGCATAAAACCTTGTTGTTTTAATTTGGTCGTAATGTTTAAATAGCAATAAAGGCAAATGTTACATTCACTGTCTTTGCTGTTATTTTATGCCCCATTAAAACATGTTTTCTGCCTCCTAATGGATGTCGTATACATCAATTATCCAGCCACATATTAGACTCAACACTACAGATGTGTTTTATCTCCTCTTTTTTCTCCTTTTGTCCTCAGGGATCCAAACCAGCCGGTACCACAGGACACAAAGTTCATCCACACAAAGCCCAACAGGTTTGAGGAAGTAGCCTGGACCAAGTACAACCCTAAAGACCAGCTATATCTCCACATTGGCCTCAAGCCTCGAGTCCGAGACCACTACAGGGCAACCAAGGTGGCCTTTTGGTTGGAACTGGTACCGCATCTGCACAACATAAATGAATTCTTTCAATATGTGTCGACGACGACCAAAATACCTCCCCAAGACACCACGCCCTACCCTTATACCAAACGGTTCCCGGGCAAAAACACCTGGCCATCCACCACCCGCCACCCTGGGGTCCCTCCCGCCAACACCAAGCAAACCACTGACCAACGTAAGAGCGACGATTTGATTGACGAGTCCACAGTGTTGATCGAGACCAAGAGGGACTACTCCACCGAGCTCAGCGTCACCATTGCCGTGGGGGCCTCTCTCCTCTTCCTCAACATCTTAGCCTTCGCTGCGCTCTACTACAAAAAGGACAAACGGCGGCACGAGACAAACCGGCGTGTTCCCACCCCACAGCGCAACTCTGCCCCCAGCAACACCCCGTCCACGGCCAACGACGTGGCCCACCTGCAGAGTGAGGAGCTAATGTCGCTGCAGATGAAGCAGCAGCAGCTGGAGCACGAGCACCATCACGAGTGCGAGGCGCTGCAGGCCCATGACACGCTGCGTCTGGCCTGCCCGCCCGACTACACTCTCACACTGCGCCGCTCGCCGGACGACATACCGCTTATGACGCCTAGCACCATCACCATGATCCCTAACTCGCTGGCTGGTATGCAGCCTCTGCACAACTTCAACACATTTGGTGGCAGCCAGAACAGTACCAACATTCCCCACGGCCACTCTACCACGCGGGTATAGTTTTGCACGGCCATGGATTTTGAAAAATATCCACAGCAGTGAGTAAGCCACTGACTGTGTGTGGGGGACAGACTCTAGCCTCTGCAAATGCTATTTTGCTACTATGCCTTCTCGGAAAAAACTAACAATATTTAAAGTGAATGTTAATGTTATTAAAAAAACAAAACTTTGGAGCTAAGTTTCTTGAAAGGTTTTCAAGGAAATTTACCAAATCTAAAGGCAACCAGGGGAGAACTGTTGCAAAAAAACAAACAAAAAAAAGCATTCAACAGTGTCCGTTTGCATTAAATACACAACAGGGCAACAGTTCACGAAAAAAGCAACAAATGATCATGTGCAACGTCATTGTTTTACGTATCAGACACCAGACATGGGCACACAAACTCTTCACCCCGGCCTGAAATGTATATATGAGAAGTTTGTACAGTTAAATAACATAAAAATGAGATTAATTTAAACCTAAAAAGAAAATACAAAAAGTATATAGTCGTGTGTGTGTGTTGAAATTTCAAGAATATTTTAAATGATAAAATGTTGTTAAAAGTGCTTTTTCAGTTGTTTAATTTTTGCCAAAATCCTATTTCTGTCATTTTTCTCCTTTAGCTGTAAATATAAACAAACTAATCCTATTTCTGTCATTTTTCTCCTTTTGCTGTAAATATAAACAAACAAACAGTTTTTTTTTCACAACAGTTTTTTTTTCTCCATACGACCAAAATGCGAACACAATCCCATCCTGGAGGAGTTGCACATGGCGGATCATCACATGCACTTTGTCTTTTACATTGCTCTAAGTCCACTCTGTAAAATGTCACATGTCCAAGAAGGACTGACTGGATCTCATCAGCCACCTGTTGTACTTTCTCCTGTTTGCTTTCATTTCTCATTCCATTACTTGTCTTGCAGTCTCAGCACCATCTGAGCTTTTACCACATGTCCGGCTGTGTTTTATTTAGAAATAAAATGGTAGAAATTTGTTTTTCTTGCTTTTATATCAACATTAGTTGGATATGTTTGTAAAAAAATATATATGTTAGATATTTCCAATGTGTCATATGCTAGCAATATGTAAAGTATTGTGTAAGGCTATGTGATATTTTTGGGCAAAAAGCAAGTGAATGTGTAAATAGTAATGATATTAATTATTACAATATAATAACAACATTAACTTCTTTTTTTTTTTGGTTTTGCATCCTATTATAAAAAAGACGGGAATAAATCCACCAAATTTTAAGCTCCATTTTTGTAAATTCTATAAAAGTAAATACATATATATATATTCTTGCCATTACGTCCCTGAGCCCCTGAGATACTGGAGGGTTTTAATGTAGTTTAAAAAAAATCTTATGTTTGTGTTCTGTTTGGTTGCAGTTTTTGCCTTAAGTGATAATAGAGATATTTCTGGCTGGACACCTGTATGAACTTTTTCTGCAACATTTTTAATAAAATATCACAGTATTTTCTAAAAAAAAAATACATATATATACAGAGAGAGCTGGTCTTCATATTTGCCTGGATGTTTGTACTGTGTTTGTGCGGGGTGGGGGCTGGATACCACTAGCATTAGCATACAAATGCTACTGTACACTATGTTTGTAATTGTTTCTTTTTACTTTTGATTTGTTTACATCAAATACATTAAAAATTAAGAAATAAAATGGTAATACAGCAAATAAAAAAGTAAAAAAAAAACAACAAAACAAGGTTAGCATTCAAACCAATACAATTAAAATTGAAAATAAATAATAATAACCGTTTCCAATTTTATAAACTAGTAAAAAAAGTCCTACTGCTGAGATCAGGTGTTCATATATCATCAGTCGGTCAGTCAAGCCATATATTTCACCACAAAGTTAGTTTCTCAGTTCATTAGTTCCTGCCTTTGTGCTGCTCACCACAATATATAAATATATTAGGGCTGTCAAATGATATGAATTTGTAATCTGATTCATCACAGGTGGTTTTAGATTAATCAAAATTAACCATGATTGATCTTGGTCATAATTACTCACAATTAATCATGATTAATCAGTTAAATCAAAATGTATATATACATATATCTTTCTTGATTCTTGAGCACAGAACAGAACTGAGGGAATCCACCTTGTTGTATAATCGTTGCCTTTTATATGATGCATTGAATCATTCACTGACCTTAACAAGTGGATGTGGTTTTGTTTTTTTACCAAGGAATCAGAGCAAACAGTGGAATCAGAGCTGTGAGCTTAAAACAAGAGGGCATTTGTTATTCTTTCCAGCTTTAATAAAGACAAAATTATTTCAAAAATGAACACAGTTGGACTGTCAGAAATACGAGTTTTCCATGTTACAAGTAAGCAACTTTTGCAAGATTTTCCTGGTAATACGGGGAAACATATAAGTGCTCAACCAAGCTCTATTTTTAACGCTCTCTCTCTATCTCTCTCTTTCTCTCTCTCTCCCCTCGCTCTCCTCATGCCCTGTCCTTCTCCTACCTTAGTGGCCCCCGACACTGTCTCGCTGTTTTGCTCACTGTTCCTCGTTGGGTTATTTTACCCATTTCTATAACAATAACATAAAATATTTTCTTAATTATTATAATTTTATAATATCAATATATTTTTTATTATAATTTAATTAATCAATAGTATAATTCTAAGAGGAAACGAATAAATTGGTTTTTAGGTATTCTTAATGGGAAAATCCAATTAAGATACGAGTGGTTCGACATGCGAGTGCTGTTGTGGAACAGATTCATCTCGAAGCCTCACTGTATGTGTATTATTTTACTTTTGCACATTTTCTCTCCATATAAGGCACTGTAATTTAAAGTGAAGGTAAAGTGGTTTGTTTGTTGACCAGGCTCTGATAATTTAAGATTAATTTAACTCTTGCGGACATGAGCCATTGTCCACGCTGAACATTTCTATTCATTGCTCCCTGTGATTGGATGAAACCCTGTTGTCAAAGAAGCCATGTGAACTCTTTTGTTGCAGAAATGTAACCGCGTCGACTCAATCAATTCTAGAGATGTAGTACTTTAAACCTCTGAAAGATTGAATCTGCAAACACTTTGGTCTACACTAGCCTAGCTGCATTGTCTGCCTCTTTGTGGCCTTTGTGAATTATTCTTGTTGTGCTCTGTAAGGGGAAAACAAGACGTCCCTGTGAGCTGAATAGTAAACAGTGTCAGTACCAGGCTTTCCCCTGACAGTTGCAGTGGAGTAGAGCTGTCTTGAACCCCCCCCCCCGCCCCCCAGACTGTCATCCCACCTCCATTCTCACCATTCAATCTATCGATCCGCTTTGCAACAAGCTAAGCAAATTAGCATTTGACTTAAAACTGAAGTGACAGGGGGGAAAATTGAAATCTTTAACGGTAATCTGCAGTCATTGAGGAGTGGTGGACATCCCCGTGTGACGTACAGAACGCCTCATCACAATTTGATGTGCTGAATGCCCTTGGGAGAAAACATTGGTTAAATCTGCAAAATAGCACAGATATGCTAAGATAAATATCAGTATTTTTGGTGTAACATTTACAGGCAGACTTTTTCATCGGTTTGTTTATTTATGCTCTGGTTAACATTTGGACAGTGCAGGAATTTCAGGAGGATTAAAAGGAAATATAGGTGGGAGGGGAGGGGTTGCTAAATGGGAATACTGGAGACTGGAATAGAATTTAATTAAGCTGGCACCTGGCCCTCCATCACTCAACCACTATCCCTGAACTGTCATTCAAGTGCACCGCTCTCCAGGCAGCCATTACTGAGGCATATCGATTGCCACAGTGACAAGGTAGTGCACCAAATGGGAGCAGGCACTCGGTGTGTTTGTGTGGTTATGTGGGTAGAAAGAAGAGAGACTCATCTGAATGCAGTAAACAGCACATTCGACTAAACCACACTGTTGCCAGATGCTCTCCAGAAGTTCCCAAAACGATAAATTAAAATTCCGGTGCAAAATTCCAGCATCAGTGTCAGTTAACTGTGACTCTCGTTCTGGGAAGTAAAAAAAAAAAGTCTTCTCTTTGACTATGACTAATATGAATATAGCAAATATAACATTGAAACTAAATGAGAGAAAAATGAAAAACAGTGTGATGAATGAGAAAAACGGTGTGACTCACAGCACCACAGGAGTTCCACCAGCGGTCAAACGGTGTGACTCACAGCACCACAGGACTTCCACCAGCGGTCTAGGACTAGAACAGCATAAATGAGAAATAGTACAGGTTCATCTCTGCCTTGTCAACAAGAGAGGAACCTGGTTAATAAAACTATTCCACTATGGACATATGTTCTGTTTCTTTGTGGAGCAAAGTTAAATATGAAATGTGCCGTGATGAACTGTGATCTGAACTTTTAAGGCATGAGTATCAAAATGTCAATTTCATAGGAAGAAATCACTAAAAATCCAAACTCAGTTGTGAGCGAGAAAGGTAAACGATAGTGTGTACGAAAGGTAAAGAGTGAGGGGAATGGGGAGAGGAGGTGGAGACAGAACCGGGACCTGAAGCAAATGTTCAGCAGTAAGAATTTAATGGTGGACTTAAGGCAATCATACTGTGGCCAAGCATGATGGCCCCTTAAAGGTCAGGGTCTATGGCCAGTGTGAGTGCGAGTGAACTGGGCCTGAGTATGGCACACTTCCCTGACACAGTATGGTTGACAAATGTGTGCTGAAGCACAGTACACTTGGTGACACGTGCACAAGCTTCAGAGATGTCCCATGTTACCTGCAGCCTTACACACATATACAAAAATGTGTGTATGTGTGCAGCACGGTTGACTGTGAATGGCCGCCTTGCGCATTTGATAACTGGAGACATTGGCGTGGGCTAACTAATTTAAAGATGGTTCACAAAGAACAAGACTGTCATTGCAGCTGTGTAGTTGGATTTTGGACAGTGGTGGATAAGGAAGCGTTTTTGGGTCCAGAAGGTTTCAGGTTCGAGTCCATCAGCTGCCAAGTTACCACTGAGGTGTTCTGAGGATGGCACCGTCCACTCACTGCTCCCTGGGTGCCTAAACCTGCCCACTGTTCACTTTGGTGATGGCTTAAAGGCAGAAACCTGCCTCTCTGCTCTATGAAGAATGAAAAAAAAAAAAAAAACTCAGACGATAAAATGAAAAAACACAATGTTGGGGGATTCTCACTTGATTTTCACTTCATTTACAACATGAAACCTGATGTAACGTGTTGATCATGCAAATGAGTGATTTCTCACTCACTGGATCCAGTGTTGACATGTTTCACCACAGAAAAAGAAGTGCTTGTTCCTCCCTCTCCTATGTATTAACTCATTTGTTGTTTGTCCCTTTGAGCTAAAACATATCTTTTGCTGTAGACTTTTGTAATCTAGAGTAAAACCTCAGCGTCATTAGAATTCGTTTAGATATATAGACTAATAGATCCTTTATCTCGCTTTTTTTCTCTCTAAGTGTACAGTACATACAGACTAATAGGCCGTTCCAGTTCAACACAAACATCATTTAGCAGAATACATTATGGGCAGTTGGGTGCACAAACCCCGGCTCTGGGGTCATTGCTATAGAAATGGCCTTCATT